ACCTCCCTTCCCTGTGAGCTCCGCTGGGTGTCGGGAGGGCCCAGGGATGCGTGGGGAAGAGTCCCCGAGCCTGAGGGCGCGGAGCACAGGCGCAGGGCGGTGGAGAGAGTGGGTGAGGGTCAGGCCCGGGGCTGCTCCGGTTTCTTCTGGCGTCGGATCACTTTGCTGCCCAAACAAAACAACGGTCTTAGAAAGAAAGAAAGAAAAAAAAAAAAAACATGCTAAAAATATAATAAGATAAATAAACAAGACCGAGTTTCTTTTAAAAAAAAAATTTTTTTTTTATTGATTTCAGAGAAGAAGGGAGAGGGAGAGAAAGATAGAAACATCAATGATGAGAGAGAATCATCGATTGGAACTGGCAACTTGGGCACGGGCCCTGACCAGGAATCGAACCAAGACCTCCTGGTTCATATTCAACCACTGAGCCCCACCAGCCAGGCCACAACCACGTTTAAGGTCTGGCAAACTGTCCCCCGAGAGAGCCAGAGCGGGAGGTGCAACCGAGCCCACAAGAGCGGCGGGAGGCCAGGGGGAAGGAAGCACCACAGCCCGTCTTCCCCACAAAGTGGGACCCACAAGCTCAGCCTCCTGGGCCCCACACGGATCGCCCGCAGGCTCGGCACAGCTTGCTCAGTAGTTATCCCAGTGCTCAGAGGGGAAGTGGTGGCCAGAGATGCCAACGAGGCCACCCTCGGCGCTCTTGCCTCTCTCCTGTAATCAGGACAACTGTGCCCAACCCAGACAAACTTACATATCTCTGGGGCTAAATGAGGAAATGTGGACTCACCATGTAATAGTCCTATATAATGAAGAGCTAATATGCTAATTAGACTGCACAGCAGAACGACCATCTGGAGGACATTCCTGACGAAGCCGGAGCTGCGAGGGCCAAGCCCCTTGCACGAATTTCGTGCTTCGGGCCTCTAGTACTTTAATCACACAGCTGGCCAACACAGAGCACGGACTATGCACCAGATGCTGCTCCAAGCACTTTGCATGCGTTAACTCCGCGGTCGGCGAACTGCGGCTTGTGAGCCACATGCGGCTCTTTGGCCCCTTGAGTGTGGCTCTTCCACAAAACACCACGGCCTGGGCGAGTCTACTTTGAAGAAGTGGCGTTAGAAGAAGTTTAAGTCTAAAAAATGTGGCTCTCCAAAGAAATGTCAATCGTTGTCCTGTAGGTATTTGGCTCAGTGGACTCATGAGTTTGCCAACCACTGCCTTAACTCCATCCTCAAGGCAAAACCCTACAAGGTGGGAAGTAATCATCACCCTCAGTGTAGACAGCAGGAAAAGGGAGCACGGAGCAGTTAGCTGGTGGGTGACGGAGCTGGATTTGAGCACAGCTGAGGCTCCAGAACCCGCAGGTGCACAGCTGGGTTTACACGGAACCAGAGATTCTCGCTGGATTGACAGGAGGGTGCAGAGGAGAAGGCAGGACCGCCATCCAGGTGCCCGCCCTCTACTCGCCAGGCCAATGGGAAGTGGACCCTGAACCGCCTGGACTTCGCTCTAGATTCTCAGCCCCTGCTTCCCGCCCTTTGCTGGCATGGCAGTGCTGTAGTCCTTCCCATCTTCGATTCCTCCTCGCACCCCAGCTCCTTCCCAAATGGTCCCTCTGGGACACTAAAGGTTTCTGTTGTTTGCAACCAAAGAGTCCTGCTCGTGGTAGAAGCTCATCACTCTCCTGCCCCCACCCATGGCTAGTCCACCATCCTGATGGGTGTGGATGGGCGCAAAAAAAAATAAAAAAATATCAGAATCAGAACCACTAGCAGTCTCTGTTGACCAGGGCTCCGTCCTCAGCCTCGTCCCATTGATCATCACTCTTACAGTTTGGATTTGGAACACAGAAGTCCCGCTCATGAGCTGTGCAGCTGCCACAGTGCAGAATCCATGCTTTGTGCAATGGAAGCCCGACTTACAACGCTCTCGAGACCCGGCGCCTGGACGGGGGCCAGCAAGATGACATTTACCCAGCATAAGGCAAGGTCTCGCCGTGCTTCCGAAGAACTCATTGTGCACGTACCAGAGAGGGGGAGAGCCTGCCAGATAGGGGCCCGTGGGAAAACACTCCCACTGCAGAGCCCGTGAGTCACCCAACAACGTCGCTGCTGAGACACAAATGCTCTGGTGCTGCGGGCGGCGCGGCTAGAGACGAGGCGTCTGGGACACGGGCCCTGTCCGTCCACAGAGAGCGCCTGTGTCTGGCCCCCACACGTCAGGGGGGACAATGACAACACAGTGCATTCCCATGGACAGCCCGGCTGTGGGGGACCACTGAGGCTTGCGGAGCTAGGACCCTGTGTGCAAAGCTGCAGGGGACTCCCAGGAAAGAACCCCAAAGGCAAACTAATAGGGGACCAGCTTGGGAAATTAGAGATGTTTTTGTCAAAGCTGTTTGGGTAGCAAGTAACCAAAATCATGCTGGAGATTGCTCAGCAAAAAAAGAAAAAGAAAAGAAATTTAAGGAAACGTGTGTTTTAGGACGGCAGCGCCAGGGGCTGCAGCTGGGAGCTGGAACGCTGGCAGGAACCTGGCAGGCTGGCTCCGGTGCTCACACAGCTCTCTCTGCGTCCTGGGAGCTGCACTGGTGCCCTGGCAATGCATAGCCCGCTGAACCACTGAGCAGGGGGATGGAGGGGGCGAGGAGTGGGTCACCGCAGCGGATGCGGCGAGAGTGGGAAAGGCCAGCCCAGAGCCACCTCCTCAGAAGGTCTGGGCTGTGGGAGGACAGAACAGGAAGGCCCGAAGAGGGAAAGGACAGTCCAGGGGCGGAGAATGTTCCCCAAAGACCCTCTTGGAGAGGCTAGGGTCTGGGTCCCCCAATACCATGGACAAAACCTGAGTCCGTGTAGTCCTGCTGCCACCATCACTGTGGCACCCTGTGCCCCACCCCTGCCAGGGGCCACCGCCTGCAGTGCAGCCCCTGCCGAGCAGGAGGCCGGACAGCCCTGACCCCAGGCCTCTCTCCATCAGGAGCTGTCTCAGAGCCGGGGGCCTGGGGGGAGCCTGGCAAAGGGCATTGGCGTCTGGGCTCTAGGCCTTGGGGACGAGGGGATGTCACAGCTCCTGCCTGTGAGCACTCACAGGAGACCTGGACACCGCATCTCACCGAGTCCTCCCGAGGCAGCCCGGCGCGCAGCCCTCCGTTACCGATGAGGGAACGGAGACACCGAGTAACCAGGGGGCTCGCCCAGGCTGCAGAGCTGTTATTGGTTCCACCCAGTTTAGCCCCCACCTGTGATTCTACTGTCTCGTCTCTGAGGCGGGAGCCCTGACTTAGTCTGGGGGTAGGGAGGGTTATTGGAGCTAGATCCGAAGGTAAGCACGGGACAAGAGGGCGGGGAACCCATGTGCACCGGCAAAGGAGGGAGGGAGGAAGAAGGGCCTGAGTTCAGGGGGCAAGGTGGGAGCAGGGGAAGGTGGCAGGATGAGGCAGAATCTATGCTTTGTGCAACAGAAGCCCGACTTACAACGCTCTCGAGGCTCGGTGCCTGGAAAGGCGGTGTGATGCTCGAGCCCCCGAGGCCCTGGGATTCGTGGTGGGTGTTGCAACCACCACTCCTGGGTGAGGCAGAAAGGGTTTCACGCCTGCTGGCCTGGGGGCCCTGGGCCTGGAGGACGAGGTCTGCCTGGAGGGCTCTGGGAGTGAAGAGCCGGGCCCTCCAAGAAGAATGGAAACAAGCAGGCCTGGAGACATCCACATGGGGACTGGGCTGGGAGCCTGAGCAGAGGGCGGGCGGGCCTGGGGAGCCAGCTACGGGGGCACCATGTCTGGGACCCACGTCTGGGGGTGAGGGGCTGCCTCTCAGAGGCCCAACTCAGGCGGGTCCGTGAGGAGTCAGTTCAGTGGCCTGGGCCCCCTGGGAGTTAGCATGGGGGCGGGGCTGCCTCAAAGCCACCATTGTCACCCCCTCTCGCGCCCGCCTGTCTGGGGCCTAAAATAGAGCAGGGGCAGGGGATCTCGTGAGAAGGGTTTCTGGCAGAGAGATCTGGGAGGAAGGGTGTGAGTCACCAGTGGGAACCCTCAAGTTTGAAGCTCCCAAAGCCCGCTGCCCCGCCCCCGTCCCCAGGGAGTCTGGAATCCACGGACGTGGAGCCCGTGGAGCCGGTGGCTCAGCCCCGCCCCGCCCTGTCCTGCGGGAAGGGGGCCGGCCCCAGCTCTGCCTCGGAGGTGCTGGGTGCCGGGGCCAACCTGCCCCCGCGGGACCTCAGCTTCTCAGATGACCCAGGAGGCAGGGGCCGGGGCTGTGGGGCCTGGAATTCATGGCAGGCGCTCCCATCAGAGGCCCCCCGAGTCAGGCAGACACGGGCAAGTCTCAGTTCCTTTCCTGTTGGCTGAGTGGCCTTTGGTGTCCCCTCATTTGGGGCCTCAGTTTCCTGATCTGTAAAGTGGACATTGAGACCAAGTCCTGCTCTTTCCCAGTTTCAGCTTGAACTATTCAACAAGCATCCTGACGGCTCCAAGGGCCACCCCCCCCCCGCTCCCTCCCTGGGCACACTTCCTGCTGCTGGCGATGTTAACCGCAGCGTCCCCATCTGTTAGTGCCCGTGCTTACACACACCACCTCTGGTCCCCACCTCCAGGAGGGCAATGTGGACATCATCCCCAGCCTTCTCCATGGAAGCCCTTCGCCTCAGTACTGGCCGCTCCTAGAGGAAAGGGTCTTGGTTCCAGGGCATCTACTAGGATCATCCCTACCCGAGGGTCAGGGCTGTAGGGATGGTCCTCCCCATTGTGCAGATGGGGAGCAGGCTCCTCCCCAGGGGTCTGTGGGACCTTTGCCACTGTGCACGGGTTCTGAGTGGCGGCGGGAGAGGCGGGCGCGGTGTGTGGGGCTGGCCTGCCCTCTGGCGGCCGCGGTGCCCACTGCAGGCCCACCTGCAGGGAGCTGAGAACGTCTCTCCCAGTCCATCTCCTCACAGCAGCTGCGCGCTCCCGCCCCCCCCCCGGTTGCCATGGAGATCATTTGTACACAGTTTTTTCTTTCCCTTTCCCTTTTCTTTCCTCCTTCCCCTTCCCCTTCCCCCTGTCCCAAGTCCGGCCCGCAGCCCATCATCGGGCCGGGGGGAGCCCGAGGGAGCCGGCCTGGGGCCCATGAACTGTAAGGCCCCAGGGAGGCTGGTCATCGAGCGGGTGAAGTTCTTCCGCCGGCACCGCGGAGAGGTGAGGCCCGCGGCTCTGCCGGCCTCCAAGCTCCCGGGTTCCCCTAGCGGAATCCAGCTCCAGAATGGGTGGAGGGTCTGAGCTCCGGTGCCAGAGAGGCCTCAAACCCGTCCTCTGGCCTCTGGCTTCAGAGTGAGCTCCTGGTTCTGGACTCCAGCTCTAGAATGACTCCTGGCTCCGAACCTGGTCCTAGAGAAGGCACGGGCCGCTGGCGTCCGTGAGATTCAGCCCCAGGCTCCAGGGAGAGCTCCAGGCTCCCGGCTCTGGCTGCAGAGTGGCTCCTGGGTCTGGGCTCCGCTGCAGAGTGAGGCCTGGAGCGGGGGCTCCAACCCCAGGCTCCGGGGGAGGTGGGGGGGGGGGGGAGGCGGGGTAGGGATGGTCCAGGGTCCGAATGAACAGCAGGTGCTTCTTGCCCTGTGATGGGGCTACGTCTGTGCTCTGTTCCAGGTCAACTCCTCCGCCTTCTCCCCGGATGGCCAGACGCTGCTCACGGCCTCTGAGGACGGCTGTGTGTACGGCTGGAGGACCCAGAGTGGGAATCTGCTGTGGCGGCTGGGAGGCCACACAGGTGGGCTCCTCAACCTGGATGGGGAGGCGAAGGCCCGCAGTGACCTCCAGTGTCTGAGCTGGGCACCCAGGCAACACAGCCCAGGCGGGGCCGAGGCACCAGGGCAAGGAGACGGCCATCTGCCTGGGCCCTGACTGGCACACCTGAACTCGGATCCTACTTTTTTTTTTTTTTTTTTTTAGGTATGTTATTTTATTTCAGAGAGAAGGGAGAAGGGTCGTTGGCTGCCTCCTGCACTCCCCCTACCGGGGATCAAGGGGGAATCTAACCGTGACCTCCAGGTGCAGGGGTCAATGATCAACACTGAGCCCCGCCAGCCAGATTCAGATCCTATTTTTAAAAAAGTTTACAAATGTACATATTTACAAATGTACATATTTACAAGTCTTAACCACTTATAAGTGTAGTGTTGCCTACATTCATATGGTCGTGCAACTAGTCTCCAGAACTCTTCTTGCAAAACTGAAACTCTATACCCATTAAACATCCCATTCCGCCCGCCCCACAGACCCTGTCAACCATCATTCTGCTTTCCGTCTCCAAGAACTGGACTTCTCTGAGAACCTTGGATAAGGGGAGCCATACAGTATTCCTTTGTGACTGGCTCACCTCTTAGCATAATGCCCTTAAGGTTCTTTCATGTTTTATCTCCTATTGTGATTATGTAATGTCACCTCCCTGAGCCTCTATTTCCTCCTCTGTAGAATGGGCTAATGGTTGCTACCCTATAGGATGAAATAATGCAAGTACCTAGTACCCAGTAAGTACTCAGGAGATATAATTTACAATTAAGGAGATAAAGAGAAAGCTCTGGTTCATTATAGGGCAGTCTGATTAATGCTGTAATAGGAAAACCTGGGAGCTGGGAGCTCACAGGAGGCATGAACCTATGCTGAGTTAAAAGGGAGCTTCCGGGAGGTGCCTGCATTTGACTGGCACTGACTGGTGTAGGCTAGAAGGAAGTGAAGCTAGAAGGAAGTGAGGTAGCGATGGGACTGGAGAAATTTGTGGGTGTCAGAGCGGAGGGCCAGAGGTGGGGGTAGTGCCGTTCTCTGACCACGGCCACCCACCCAGGCCCCGTGAAGTTCTGCCGCTTCTCCCCCGACGGCCGCCTCTTCGCCAGCACCTCCTACGACCGCACCATCCGCCTGTGGGACACAGCAAAAGCCACGTGTCTGCAGGTCTTGAAGGGTGAGTGGGCTGGGAGGGACTGCGGGCCAGGCAGCCAGGCCTGGCTTCCCCTCCGGACCTTGCCGTGTCCTGTGCCACCTTGTAGGTCACCAGCGGAGCGTGGAGACAGTCAGCTTCAGCCCAGACTCCAAGCAGCTGGCTTCGGGTGGCTGGGACAAGCGGGTGCTGCTCTGGGAGGTGCAGGTATATGGAGGGTGATGACACCCACCCCACCCCGTGCCCATGAGATTCCCCCTGCCTGATTGCCCTCTCCTCAGCCTGGGGAAGTCACCCAGACCCTGGGATATGCCACACATTACCCAGGCAGCCCCCAAAGGGCCTGGGTCTGCCCCATCTGAAGCCTAGAACCTGGCACTGAGGCTTCTGGGCTGCGCTCCAAGCTCAGGGCTCTCACCTTCAGTCTGGCCAGGTGCTGCGCCACTTAGCAGGGCACCAAGACTCCATCCAGAGCAGTGACTTCGCACCCAGCTCAGACTACCTGGTGAGCCACACCCCGCGGCCCACGCCCCACACAGAGTACCACACCCACGTCCTCACTCGGGACTGAGCAGTGGTTGGTTAGAATTCTAGACCTTGACTAGATGACTCCGCTCTTCTGAGTCTGACCAGCCTAGAAACTGGGAGGGTGGACATGGGCTAGCTGGCCTGTTCTCATGGCCGCTGTCTGCAGGCCACTGGTTCCTGGGACTCTACCATTCGCATCTGGGACCTTCGGACAGGGACCCCGGTGATCTTCCACCGGGAGCTGGAGGGTCACAGTGGCAACGTCAGCTGCCTGTCCTACTCAACCACGGGCCTGCTGGTGAGCGGGGCTGCCTGGGTTCCAGCTGGTCCCTTGCTGGCAGCTAGACCCCTGGAGGGTCACGGGCCATTTGGGGGCAGGGAACATGCAGGCCTCCAACAGCTATCCGCTGTCTAGGCATCTGGCTCCTGGGACAAGACCGTCCACATCTGGAAGCCCTCGACTAGAAGCCTGCTTGTCCAGCTCAAGGGCCATGCCACCTGGGTGAAGAGCGTAGCTTTCTCCCCAGATGGGCTGCAGCTGGCCAGCGCGGGCTACTCCCCAATGGTAACCTCACCACGCCCGGGCCCTCCTCCTGGCAAACTCCTACTGCTTGGGAGGGGGGGTTTGGAAATTGCATTGCACTGCATTTTTGCATCAGATATTATGGCAGGTATCTTAAATATACCTCAAAAACAAAACCCAGTCCAAAGAGTAGGATGTTAGCTAGGACTCACCCCCAAGGTGATTCAAAAATTGCTTGTGTTGGGAGGCCTCCCTGTCTTCTGTTTGTTTTTATTCCAGATCAAAGTCTGGGACTGCAACACAGGAAAGTGCATTGAGACCCTGAAGGTAAGGCCTGTGACTCTAGTCTCCAAAGGGGCAAGGGGAGGTGCACAGGAAACTGGGCTCAGACAGGACTGCACCCTCAGAGCCCACCATGTGTGTTGGCAGGGAGCCCTGGATGTGGCCCACGCCTGCACCTTCACCCCCGATGGGAAGCTCCTCCTGGTGAGCGGAGCTGTGGATTAGGCAAGTCGCCAAGTCCCCGCATGACCAACCACCCAGCACCTCCAATGCACCATCACCACAGAAGGCCCTCAAGCCTCCCGCCCTGCCTCTCCCTGCCCAGGGCCGTTCCATACCACAGGCCAAAGTAACCATAACCGAGCACCCGGCAGATCCATCACGGCCCCACCACCGCCCCCCTCTCCGGCACGGTTAAAAGAACTGCAAACACAAAGCAACAGCCAGATTGTGCTTTATTGACGCCGATGCTCAGGCCTTGACCGCGTACTTCCGGAGGGGGTACAGCCGCTCCTTCCGCTGCTGCTTCTTGGTCTTGAGGTTCTCCTCGTGCTTGTTGAGCCGCCGGCGCATGGCGCGGGTTTTCTTGGGCCGCAGGTCCAGGGGCTTGTACTTCTTGCCCTGGCGGTGGGACAGCAGGAATCTGAGGACCAGGGCTCAGGAGCTACTACGGTAGCTAGGCAAGCCCCCGAGGCTGGAACCCGGGTTGAGATGGTGCTGGGAAGACTGGGAGGTGGCTGAGGAAGGTGCATGGCTGAGCTGGGGGGTTCATGTGTAGACATGAGTGAGGAGCTGTGACATCCAGCACAGCAGGGGACTGTACCATGGGAATGGGACAGACCACACTTCTTGCTTACTAGTTCATACAATCCCCCAAATTCAAGGTGGAAGGGAGGGGGGAATCATCCCCATTAAAAAAAAATTTAAAAAAAGTTTTTTGAGTTAGAGTCAAAAAGCAAGTGAACTTGTCAGAATCTCACCAATACTGTCTTGGAACTGGGATTTGCACCTAAATCAACCAACTCCCTAAACAGTGCTCTTCCCGCCAGCCTAATTCCTGCCATGGAGTCAACATCACATCAACCAAGTAAGGGGAGGGGGCATGTGGCACCCAGCAAGCACTGGGTGGTCACTGTTTTCTTGGCTTAAATTAAGCTGTTGTGTATGGTGTAGGGGTGGGGGAGCTGCGGCTTAAGCTGGTACTGGATAAACCTGGAGTGCCTGCCAGGTACCTATGGGTGTCCCCTGTAATCATGTCCCCATTTTACAGTCCCAGAGGGAAGCTCTGGCTTGGCCAAGGGAATTCCAGAGGCAAAGCTCCTTTCCTGCCTCTCACCAAACCTGCCCCCAGACCTTTCACCGGGCCTAGTGTCTCCCTCCCTGGCTCTCTTATTCTCGTCCCACTTGCTTCCAATGAGCAGGTCTGGACGAAGGCAGCTCTCATGCTCTCTCCTTGTTATGCAAAGGTCCCCTGGGCCTCTTTGGCTTGGGGCCTGGCCAGGAATCAGGCCTGGTCCCTGCTGGAGGAGCTCCCAGCTCGTGGGGAAGACTGAACAGACAGTAAGTGGCTCATCGGTGGGGGAGGAGGTTTCACCTAGCAACTGGCTACAGCCCTGAAAGCAATGAAGCAGCCAACTGAAACCGGGGAGAAAACTGTGCACAGAACCCCTTAGGGATGACAGCTCAGGCTCTTTGTGGGAACCACCAACAGCCCGGAGGAGTAGGCACAGGGCAGAGAACTGTGGAAAAGGCCAAACAGGAGATGAGGAAGCGCTGAGGGAACCTGTTAGTATTCAAGTCTGTCCCCCCACATCCCCCACGTCAGGGCACAAGTCAGAACGCTGTCCATAAAGCTCTGCTACCCAGCAGAATAGCCACTAGCCCGTCCTGTTTATATCAAGCCAGTCCTCAGACAACAGTCACATTAGTGATCAGCAGGCACTTGTGGTGGGAGGTGACCGATGACGGAGCAGACACAGAACACGTCCGTCACCACAGAAGGTCCACAGACACACAGACAGGGACTTCACCTCCGCCTCCCTGAGTGCTGCCTGGCCTGCTCCAGGCCACCCTCTCTGCCTGGTCCCCTCGGAGCTGGACGAAAGCTCCAGACCCAATCCTGAGAAAATGTTCCCACATCCCCACAGCTGTGTCCCTGGGCGGCTAGCCGGGTACACCGAGATGGCCTTTTTGGTATCAAACCCTCGTTATTCAAACACTACATTGGGAGTTGATGTGAAGCCATTTTGTAGATGTAATTAGAGCCACTAATCAATCCATTCATTTAAATGAGAGAATATCCTGGGTAATCTAGGTGGGCCTGATAAAACCAGCTGAAGTCCTTAAAGCAGAGATGAGACTCCCCACGAAGTGCCACCTGCGGGACAGCAGCTTCCACCTGTGCCATGAATCCCAGCTGCCACCATCTTCCCCCAGCCCTCAAACCACGTAAGCCAATTCCTGTTACAAAGCAAATACACACAAACACCCATGTACAAAGCATCCCACTGGTTTGCCTTCACTGCTGGGACCCTGGTGAGACTAATTTAGGACAGGACTAGGAAACGGCTGTAATATCCTAGGCTGAGGGGCCAGACACCTGTGGAAATCTCCCAGGAGCACCCCTTTCACCCCTCCCCACGGCGTGGTTTTGAACCTCAGCCCATTCACTCCATTTGCAGGTGACTCTGAGCAACTTAACCTCTTAAACCTTGAGGTCCTCACCCGAAAAACAAGAATGTCAGGGGCTTGGCAGTGCTGACACCCAGTACTAGTAAGACAAAACATTCAGCAGTCAACCCTCAGCCTGCACAAACTCAGTCCTCGGGTGAGGCTGCACCCAAAACCCAAGTGTCCAGCCACAGTCCTGCCGCTGTTGATTTGTTGACAACTGCAGCCCCGAGGAAATGCAGCCTGCATACCAGATGCTAGCGCAAGATGCTGGAAAGGCAAACCATTTACAAGCTGGACGGGTCTGGAAAGCCCAGTGATGCCTGGGCGACGCTCTGTCCCCCACACACCGGCAGAACCTCTTCACAGAGCGCCCCCAGCGAGGGCTGGAACCGCTCCCTGGAGCCAGGCACCCCCTCCCCCCCACTCACCTTGTAGAATTTCCTGAGGTTCTCCTTCTGAGTCTGGTTGATGACGGTAAGAACACGGGCGATAGACTTGCGAACAACTCGGCTATAAAAAAACGTTTACAACAGTGAACACAGTGCTCCCAAAGCATCTCACTCCGGGCCGGACCCAGATCTCATCCACAGCCTCCCGAGATGCACTTCGCTCAGCCCGGGAGGAAGTGTTCTGAGGGGGAGGTCGGAGGACTACAATATACAGGAATCTGTGACCAGGGAAGGAAAGCGTGTCCCGTGCTTGTGAGGATCTGTGAAGTGTCCACTGAGGAGGAGGCTTACTGAGGAGTGATGGAGGCTGACGAGGAAAGATACCCCATCCCAGGCCATACATCCTGAGGCTGTGAGGCCGACCTAACCAATGCCCATCTCAATGAGCTGACCAGAAAGAATCATGTCACAAGCTGGGCAACCAGGGAAGCTTAAAGAGTCCCAGCAGGGGCCACTGAAGGAGGAGAGGAGAGCCTGAAGCCAGGAACCAGGTGACTCTGCAGTCATGCTGGAGGATGAGGGAAGGCTCACTCAGTCGATAGCTTGGTAAACCTGGTCTTGAGGATTCGGCATGACACTTGCTTACATGTTCCCAAACTCACCCAATACCCTCCCACCACCATATGAAGGTTATTGGGAAGGTTTCATAGAAGAAGAAAAAAAAACACACCGGTGGTTAGCCAACCTGCCCATCAGGCAGGATGTGGCTGAAGAGGAATTTGTGCACAGGTTAACCGACTCCAAACCCACACTCCTTACAGCAGTGTTTCCCAAACTTTTGACATACGTGTACCCCTTCTATAATTTTCATAACGCTGAGTACCCCTCCTACTCACGAGAACGTAGAATTAGGCGCAGCTAGGCCCGGTGCAGTGCATATCCCCACCAAACTCTTCCCGTCCCCCTGGGGGTACGTGTACCACACTTTGGGAAACACTACTACATGTAAATCACTAATTTACACTACAACTCAAGTAGGGTGCAAGGTTCCCACCTACCAACTTCGGGGGGAGAATCAAGTACTGTTAGGAGATGAAAGAAAACGTCGTTGGGTTCTTTGAAGGAAGCATTAAAATGTCCCCAAAGAGACACCCTGTTCTTTCACCAGCCAGAGAAGCTGAACAAGGCAAAAGGACCCCAGGGTCATAGGCAGGTAAAGGGGGGCGGCTCTCCCACGTGGAGCTCCGTGAGCAGGTGAGCCCGGTTAGGAGGGCCTGACCCTCCAACCCACAGCTCCACTGAACGGGCACTTAAGCGGGCACCTCCCTAAGCCAACTGCAAGGATCCACCAATGCTCCCGGTGTGCACACAACCCTCCCGCCGCCCCGAGGCCCGCGGGCCGGCCGCCGTCACTTACATCTTGGAAAGCTTGGAAGCTGCGCCGCCTGTCACTTTGGCTACGCGCAGCTGGGACAGCTCCACCTTCAAGTCGTCCAGCTGTTTGAGCAGCTCCTCCTTCTTCTTGCCGCGAAGGTCCCGAGCCTTAATTTTGGCCTGCGGGCAAGGAAGGGTCTGTGTCAAAAGCCGGGTGCCTCCGTCTCCCCCTCCGCCGCTCACCGAGGCTTCCGCCGGCCCTTCCCACCCCTCCGCCCGCGTCCAGGAGCGCGCGCCCGGCGCAAGGTCTCCGAGGCCCAGGCCGGCTACGAGGCCGGGCCGCTACTCCCACTGCGCAGACGGGAAGACAGAGGCCGCCGGCAGCGCCGCCCCGCTCCCAGCCCAGGCCGGCCGGGTTGGAAGGCCGGCAGTGGCGGAGCTAGGCCATTCCGCACCATACCCCATGGGCCCGGCTGGCAGACGGGACCCCAGGGTCCACCCTGCACTCCCAACCCCAGTCTCCGAGCCCAACACCGCGCGGATGGCTCCCGATTGCTGAGCTCTCACCATGGCTAAACACCCCTGCGCCGCCGCCGCCGCCTGCTCGGAGAGAAAGAGGAAGGGGCGGGGCTGACCTTTACAACTACTGCCGGGTGACAGCGGGCGCGGCCAATGGCGGCGCAGCAGGGGAGTCCAGGCTCCGCCCCTTCCAGCCACGCCCCAACGCCGCTAGTAGCGGGGTGATACTGCCCGCCCAGCCCTTTAGTCCTCGCGATTACTTTGGCCGGCCTCATCCCAACCCGAGCAGTTGGGGAAACTGAGGCACGGCAGACGCAGTTTACCGGAGATGGCATCGTGGTCTACTGAGTCATTTGTTCGTTCATTCAATCTCTGCAGGGGGCCGACCAGTTCGTGCTACTGTTCTGGGGATGGAGGAATTTAAAGGTCGAGGTGGGGGGGAGAGGCGGGGTCGACCATAAATCCAACTCCCTAAACGTTCCAATGGAGACCGCGTGGCAGGGGAAGGAGCATTCGTGGCCTTCTTTAGCGAACCTGACCCAGTTTCAGATTTCTGCTCTGTTGCCTGGTGCTAGCTGAGACTCGGCAAATACGTTTTTGAGTCTGTTTTCTCACCTGTGAAATGTGAGGATTAGGAAGATAACACTTAAAGATAACATCACAAGACCTGATGTCTAACAACCGATCAAAATACCGTCGGAATTAATGCTCCCTCCCAGTGGAATGAACACTGGAGTTGGGCCCTAAAACTTAAAGGGGAATTCACAAAGCAGGAAGGGACTCAGGCTTTCCAACTAGGCAGTTTCATTGTTTCCCTAACCAGCAAGGAGTCAGTGCTCTGGTGTCACTCCACTGCCGTTAACAAAGACACACACTTCTTAGGGTGCTGTTAATGCCAGGTTGCCCCCTTGTAGCTTCAGGTGTCATCTCTGGGAAGCCTTCTCCCACCCCTTCTTTATACCTTAGCCTTGGAGTGAACCAGCACAACCTCCCGTGGCCCAAGTTTTCTGTGCAATACTCTCTTTAGCTCCAAAAAAACTGAGTTAAAATGTCGTCTCTGTAGCCTGCCTGGAAGTTCTCTGGGGGCAGAAACATGGCTGATACATGATTTTGTTTTTCTAGTCTCCAGACACAATATGTGAGTGCTTGTTGGATGAATGAATGAGCCTTGTCCCAGACTACAACAAGAAATAATTTTAGGCCCTACCCGTGTTGGCTCAGTGGATAAAGCGTCAGCCTTTGGACTGAAGGGTCCTGGGTTCGATTCCTGTCAAGGGCACATGCCTGGGTTGTGGGCTCAATCCCCAACAGGGGGCGTGTAGGAGGCAGCAGAGCAATGATTCTCTCATCATCAATGTTCCTATCTCTCTCTCCCTCTCTGAAATCAATAAATAAAAATTACTTTAAAAAAAAGGAATTTTAGGAAGTGGAGGGATATGGGGAGGAGATGGCAGACAAAGAGCAATTATGGCCTGGATTCGTCTTAAACGGAAGTCGAATAGTGCACAGGGACTTTCCTGTCTTATTTCCCAAATGGTTATAGTTCTGTTAGAGCTAATAATTGTGTACATCTTTTCCGGTCTTGAAGTCATCTGTGAATTCCATTCTTCTTACATGCTACCACATCCAATCCATGAGCAAATTCTACCTTCAAAATATATCTGACCTCTTCTCACTACTTTAAAAAAAATCTTCGCCTGAGGATATGCTTATTGATTTTAGAGAGAGGATGGAGAAGGTGGAGAAAAACACTGATGTGAGAAACATCAACCGATTGCCTCCTGTATGCACCCACCCTGGGATTGAGCCCACAACCTAGCTATGAGCCCTGACCAGAAACTGAACCTTCTGTTAACAGATGACACTCCAAGCGAGCACACTGGCCAAAGCCCCAGCACTCACTGGCACCCGTCTGGTCTGAGCCACCATGGACTGTCACCTCAATTATTGGTGTTGCCTCTTAAATCACTTCTCTCCGTTGGCTCTTGCTCCCAGGTGTTCTCAATAGAGCTGCTAGAGGGAGCCTGCTCTGCCCAGAATTTCCAGAGCTGTCCCATCTGGATTAAGACCACATATTTTCCTCAAAGCCGTACAGCATCTCCTCCACTTCCATCTCATCTCTTCTCACTCTTGCTCCAGTATGGCCTCGCTGTTTCTGGAGTACACCAAGCCTGCCCTGCCTCTGGGCCTTTGCTTGGTTCCTTCCTCCATTGCGATCAGGTCCCTAATCAGATTCACCTTCTAAGGGACATCTGTTGACCACTGTATCTAAGGTACTCTCTCTCAGGCACTGCATGATTGTTGTTTTCCCTCAGCACAGTTATCCCTGACAATGTACAGTAGTTTTTTAAATTCTGCCTTCCTGGCTGGAATGGAAGCCCACAGTTATAGGAGAAACATGATTCCATTCACTAGTTTATTTGGAGGTTATTTACTTCCTTACTTGTAAAATGGGCATTTCTGATTTAAAGTTCCTCCTGACCAGGATATTCTGGGGATGTGAATTTCTGCTTTCTTGTGGCCTGCTTGATTTCTTCCAAGGTATGGAGCTGAGAGACAAGCGTGCTTTCCCTGTCCCCAGGACCCCCAGACTTTTATTCAGCACCTATTTCCCACTGTGAGAGCCTGTATTGTATTTTCATTTATTTATTTATTTAAAATCCTCACCCGGGGATATTTTTCCATTGATTTTTAGGGCAAGTGGGCGAGGGAAAGTCAAGAGGAACACATGATTGGTTGCCTCCTGCACGTGCTCTGACCAGGGCGGGGGCGGGGGAGGATCCTACAACCAAGGTACATGTCCTGGGCCAGAATGGAGCCCAGGAACCTTTGGTCCGCAGGTGACGCGAGCCAGACGGGCTAGGGCTAAGAGTCTGTCTTTCTCACCCAAGATTAGGTAGCTTATGTTTCTTCTTCAATTAGCAATAATAGCCCCTCAGATAAATCTCACTGGCTATCATACTGCACTGCACATAGCTTGGCATCTTTTTTGATCTGCAGACACAGTTCAATGAGAAATACTCAAAGCAACAAAACAAGTCCCATTTCATTAATTACTGGCCTTCATTAAAGAGTACTATTATATGAAAACAAAGACCCAATTCGGTTCAAGGCTACGGCCCATAAATGGAACCCCTCAAGCAACAAGCACCTAATCCTGGCACTAGAGTCGTCCTTGATCGTGCCCCACCTGCACCCCAATCTTCCCCCATCTCAGACTTTGCGCTTCCTACCAGGAAATGCCTCTCCAGTCAGGTGCAACTGCTCAGCCCCTAGAGCCTCGCCCTTCTTGCTTGGATGATGGCCACAGAGTCATCTCCCTCTCTTCACCACCACCCGCCTGGCCAAGGTGACTGCTACACATGCGAGGGCCGCCGCACCCTCAAGTCCAAAGGTCTTCATTGTCTTATCAACAGGATACACTTTAAACGTCTTTACATTTTCCTGGTCACTGTGTACAACGGTCACTGTGTACAAGGCAGAGGCCACCTCCTCTCGGCCCAGTGCGGTGGGTGGCGTTTCGGGCTCTTCCAACCCCCATCACTCCCAGGGAACAAGAACCACTACTCATCCCTCAGCTGGAAGGTTTCTTCTCCGAGAAGCCTGTCCGCCATTCGACAGGCACAGCCGGGTGCCCTCTCCTGCGGTGGCCGTGCTCCCTCAGTCTGGGGGGTGATGGCCCCCGGGGACCCTTCCAGGGCCGCAGCTCCGGCGTGCGGGAGGGAGGCCGAGGAACAAGGGCAGGAGCGGCGTCGGAGGTGCTGGGCGCTCGGGGACGGCGCCCGCTGCTCAGAGAGGAAGACTGGGGCGCAATGAAGTTAGGAGTCTGACGGGGCGGGGGGCAGGGACCAGGTCGGCATCAAGACCGACCGCAGACTGCTTTCGGCGGCACCCCCAACGGCTCTGTCCCGCCTTCCGACTGCACTTCCGGTTCCGGCGTGCACCGGAAGTGGGCGGGCGGCGGCGGCTGCGCGCGGAGGAGGTGGAGGTAGTGCCCGGCGGCCGCTTCCCGCCCCCGAGCCGGTTGGGAGCGGAGTGGATCTGAGGTCGGGCCCGGAGCGGAGCCGGCCGAGCGGGCCCCGAGCCCCCGCCATGGCCCGGAACACGCTGTCCTCGCGCTTCCGCCGGGTGGACATCGACGAGTTTGACGAGAACAAATTCGTGGACGAGCAGGAGGAGGCGGCGGCGGCGGCCGGCGAGCCAGGCCCGGACCCGAGCGAGGTGGATGGGCTCCTGCGGCAATATCCTTCCCCGGCGCGGCGTCTCGGGCTCCCCTGTGGCCCAGCCTTCCCGCTCCCCTCCTCCCGGCCCCTCAGGCTGGCTCCCCACTCCTCTGATCCCCGGCCCCCTCGGGTCAGTCTCCCAACTCTCCTCCGACCTGGCTCCCTCCCGGGCAAGGTTCCCTGAGTCCCAATCCCCCCATCTTCCCTCTGACCGGCCTCCCCACCCTCTCTTTCCTGCCCCCCCCACCCCGGAGTCTCCCTCGGCATCTCAGCCCACGCGGTGCCCGGACCCTGGTGGGCCGGCCGGCCGGCTTGCTCGGCGGCTCCGGGAGTGCGCGGTGCTGGCCTCCAGCCCCCCGGGCTGCTCACTGCTCTGCGAGGCCTCTCCCTCATTGCCCTTGCCTGCTCAGCCTCTCGGGCTGTCCCTTCCCTGACGCCCCATCGCTCCGTCCTTCCCGTGCAGGCAATGGGTCATTCATTCTCGGGCTTTTCCGGCGGGAGGGGCCCGGGTGAGCCGCCGCTGAGTAATGAATTGAGCAGCCAGGGCGGCTCCTGGGCACGGTCCTCCTGGGCCTGATCGCTCTGCAGCGCACGAAAATAGGTGGGCGGACGGCTGCGGGGAAGAAAGATCACAGCCCTGAGCACGGAGGTTGTACACCTCTCACCCGCAGATCAACCTGACCCTGCAGCTTAGCGCCTCTGCTTCCGACCTCTTCTCAGCTTCCTACGAGCACCTTGGGGTTTGGACCTTGATGGTCTCAGCCATGTTCAACAAGTGTGTTTGGCTCCCCCTCAGTACCCCCCCTCCCCCATAGCCTTCTTGTGCAGGAGGCAGTGGGGGGAAAAACTAGTAGTTTCGAGCTAAGAAAAACCAGAGAGCAGAAAGTGAAATGTAAAAGTAGAGCCTCGCCACTGGAAACGACTATTTTTGTGGCCGTAGAAAACTAGCATTTAGAAAACAGGATTAAAAATAGAGGTGGCTGTCACA